GCCTCGGCCTCCCAGAGAACTAGGATTACAGGCGTGAGCCACCGCGCCTGGCCATCAAGGTATTTTTTTAAAGTAATATTAAGTGTTTGAAAATAAAAATCAAAGAAACTTCCCTTGGAGAAAAGTAATTCAGGTTTAAGAATTTTTTTAGAACTGTAGAAACCACAGAGGTTTTTTTTTTTTTTTTCCCTTTAACTTAAAGAACTTTATATTTTACTTCTTTTATGCTCTTCCTCATCCACTTAATAGGGACAGTTAACATTGTATTGAATCACAGATTAATGGAGTTTCTAGAACTGAAAAGGGAGCTTTAAAAACTAGGAATTATTTTTAAAATAAGAATGGACAGTGACATATAAAATACCAGAATACCCACCACTCAGTTTAACAGATTTTGCCACATTTTGTTCAGATCAAGGTTTTTTGTTTTTAATTTTTACTTTTGTCAATGCATGCACCTGCTTTAAAAGCCAATGGTACCTCAAGGTTTATGACAAAAAAAGCAGTTACCTACTATATACCTTCCTGCTTTCTCAGTCCGACTTCCCAGAGGCAATTGCCTTCATCTTATTAGCTGATTCTTATATTTAATTGATTTTTTTCAGTTTTATACTTTATTTTTCCCATCCTTCTCTGGAAGACAAAGATTTTTTTAGTTTCTTACACTACCCCATCAACACAAACACTCTTCCCCTCCTACCTTACCCCCTCATGCTCCATGTATAGTTATTTCATAATTTTTGGTTAGGTTAATATTCAGTATGTACTTTATTATGACAACTGTTTCTTTATTGCTGATACATAAATAGTATTATGAAATTTCCTGTACGACTTTGTTTTTCCTGGAATTAACAATTATCTCATTTTTTTCAGTTGCTTAGCTCACTAATTCATCCTCAAACTCTGATCTGTAAAACTCCTTCCATCATAGACAAATATTTAATACATTGGGTATTTTCTCTGTTTCTCATTTTTATTGGGGATGTTCTTCCTAGAGCCCCATGCCCTGTTCCTTTCTGGGCTGGTTGTTTTCTAGGCTTGCTGCACAGCTGTGCTCCTTGAACTTCCTTTCATTATCACCTTGAGAATTTCCATTGCCTCTCTTCTTTGCTAGTTTTTGATTTTCTTAATCTTGTATTTTCCTCTTTCATGGTTTATACTTTCATTTTGGTGAAGTATGTCTTTTAGTACCTTCCTAACAAAGGAGATGAGGGAGGTAAATTTTTTGAGACCATGTACCTCTGAAAATTCTACCCTCCCATTGACTGATAACTTTGGCCAGATATCAGATTCTAGGCCGGAAATAATTTTCCCTCTGAATTTTTAAGTCATAGCTCACTTTTCTTTTGGTTTTTTTTTGTTCGTTTGTTTTTTGAGACAGGGTCTCACTCTGTCACCCAGGCTAGAATGCAGTGGTGTCACTGCAACCTTGAAATCCCAGGCTCAAGCGATTCTCCTGCCTCAGCCTCCCACATAGCTGGGACTACAGGTGTGTGTCACCACACCCAGCTAATTTTTTTTATTATTATTGTAGAGACAAGATGTTGCTATATTGCTCCAGCTGGTCTCGAACTCGTGGCCTCAAGTGATCCTCCTACCTCAGCCTCCCAAAGTGCTAGGATTACAGGTATGAGCCACTGTACCCAGCCTGTTTTTTTAATTTAGCCTTGCAGAAGAATTTTTCAGATTGATCTTCTAACACTTCTACTGAATTTTTAATTTCCCCCAATTTGTTTAACAGTATCCTATCTTGTTTTATGGAAGCATGATTTTTCCTCATAATGATTTTTCCTTAATGATCTTTATTATAACTTTTGAAGTTTTTTCTTATTCCTTACAATCATCTCTTTATCTCTTAGTTCCTTCTCTCTGTTGATTCAGTCTTGTCTGTTATCTTAGAGGCTTTTCTCAACAGTTTGACTGTCCTTCCTGGCTTGTTTGTAAAGAATGGGCACTGAAATGCAGACTGGAAGTTCTCTGTGATGAATTGGGCTTGTCAACTGGTGGGCTATAGGATTATGGGATAAGGACCTGGCTGTTTTATTGGAGGACCCCAAATGTCAGTATCTGTAGAATTTCTCCAGAAAGACATCATCTACTGTCTGCCTAGCAAACAGGGAAGTATAATATGACTAGCTGCCAACTTCCTAGAAACTAAGTGAGGGAAAAGGACTGGGAATTTTTTCTAATGATGAAAATAAACTTATCTAAACTTCTTGCTGTGGCCTGTAAAAGCCTGCATGATCTAGTTTAATTGTTTCATTTTTTTTTTCCTGGGGAAACTTAAAAGAATAAGATTCAGGGTGCTAAGCTACACCTCTCAGTGCTGCATCTGATCTGGAAGGTACAACTGATACTCATCTTCTCCCCTTTCTACTACTCATTCCAGATCCCCTTCAATCTCATCTACCACTTCTCTCGCCTAGACAAGGTGGCTCAGACCCTCATCCCTGAGGAGTCTGAGACTCTGGTCACCACGTCCATCCCAGATTATGGCTAGTGAACTTGTTCACTTACCATGAAAACTGGGCAGAGGGTGCCAAGAGACGTCCATCAGCAGCTCTGCCTCTTGGGAATCAAAGTTGATTGCTCCTGCCAATGTAGTGGCTCATTTCCTTGTCTGTTAAACTTTTGGCATGGCATTCTAAATTGATTGACTGGCAGTCACAGCTTAAAGTTTAGTGGGACACTTACTGTGTCCTCTGGTAGAAGGCATTCCTTCTCTGGGAACTGGGACCTCTGTCTAGACCCACAGAGTTGTGGAGATGGGAAGCACAAAGTCCTGAAGGGGGTCACTGGGAATGATGGTAAGCAAGGCCGCTTCTCCGCATGCGTTGGTTCCCAGACCCATGTCTTCTACAGACTGGGAATATAGTACTATATAATAGTCATGAATTTAGGATGTGTACTATACCCCATTCTCACAGGGAGTCATCTCCAACCTGGTGCGACAGCTGTTCCTTGATTGCTCTTTCGTGGAGTTTTTCAATAGTGGCACATTGACATTTTGAGCCAGATAATTCTTTGCTGTAGGGGACAAAAATTGCCTCCCTTTGAGAACCACTGCTCTACCAAGGCTGGCAGCTATGGTTCAGTATGTCGTAGGAACAGTGCAGCCATGGTCTTGTGCCCATTGCTGCACCTCTGTATCTCCTTTGCTCTAAAGTGGGTCGCCTGAGTAGTGTCACGTGGTACGCCATATCAGAGAATTAAGCATTCTATGAGCCCTGTGTGTGGTACTGGCCAGGCCCTGCTGGCAGGAAAGGCAAACCCATGCTCAGATGTGTCACTTTCAGTTAAGGCGAATTGTTGCCCCTTCCCAGGTGGAAGGGGTCCAAATGCAGTTAATCACCAAGTGACTGGTTACTTTCAAGAGATGATCTGATATCTGGATCTCAGCATTGGCCTCTGTTGCTGTTAGGATGAACTTTCAATAGCAGCAGTAGCTAAATCAGCCTTGGTGAGTAGGAGCTCATAACACTGGGTCTGGGCAACAGACAGAGCTTGAACAAAGGCAAGATGGCGGATGTGCTGGATCTTCACGAGGCCGGGGGCAAGGATTTCACCATGGATGAGGATGGGGACGAGAGCATTCACAAGCTGAAAGAAAAAGTAAAAAAAACAGAAGGGCCAAGGCTTTGCCTCTGAATAGGGGTCCCGAGTGCACGGATGCATGAGGATTATGACAGGGTGGAGCAGGGTAGCAATGAACCTGGAGCACAACGCTCTGTTGAAGGCTGGATTCTCTTTGTCACTACAGTCCATGAGAAAGCCACTGAAGACATCCATGACAAATTGGCAGAATATCAGGAAACAAAAAACATCCACCTCAATCTGGACAGGCAAACAGAGTATCTGAAGGGGCATACTCTAGTTGAGTCTGAAACATACAAGGAGGCCCAGACTGCTACGGAGGGACTCAATGGCCAGGATGTAATGCGACAGCCAATCAGTGTTGACTGGTGTTTTTTGTTTTTTTTTTTTTTTTTTGAGACGGAGTCTCACTGTGTTGCCTGGGCTAGAGTGCCGTGGCGTCATCCTAGCTCACAGCAACCTCAAACTCCTGGGCTCAAGTGATCCTCCTGCCTCAGCCTCCCAAGTAGCTGAGACTACAGGCATGCGCCACCATGCCCGGC